CACATGGCACACGTGGCTAATCTCCAAAATCCCCCTCGAGGATCCGTAGTCTGGGTGCACGGCACTGCTGTCTAAAGGGTTTAAGGGTGTAGCGGGCCCGTATGTACAAATATTTGTGTCTACATATATATGTATACTGATAAAAGACGGTAGGAACCCAAGTACGAACTCGGAAAATCCAAGCCAAAACCCTAAACCCTAAACCATAGAAGCCCCAGGCCCTAAACCCCATAAGCCCATCTCACATCTTCCACGCTGGTCGACGGCGACAACGATCTGATGACTTCAGTGCCGCTTCTGCAAGTGGCGATCGAGTGCTGACTTCGTAATCACACAGAACCTTCTAAGAACATTGTGGGCACATGTGCGGTGACTCATCTGTCGGGTCGAGGCCATAGCATGACGTACCCAGTCCTCGTCCATAAATGTTGCCCCCAAGCGGGGATTGCGCACTGTATACAATACAGATTCGATCGTGTGTTGTAAGTAGTGCAACTTAGGCCGTACTTTAAAGTACAGCTGTGAGTTGTTCAGAGCTTCATGCCCCAAGGAGACATATGTCTGCAGAAACATCAGCCCCACATGATAAATAGTGTCACGCTCAGCCTGCCCGAGGATCGAGCCACCTGACATAATGCAGCCACTGAAAATGTTCGCAGCCCAAACACAGGCGACAAGGCTAGGGTACTCGGACAGCTCGAAATGCTCCTGCAGCTTGTAGTTCACATATTGAAGAATGGTGGCACAATCCGCTGCTTTGGCGCCTAGAACAGGACACTCATCAGACTTCCAATTCAACGTCTCTTTCCTGATCTTCTTGGCTCTCAACTGAAGATTGTTGTCACGAACATATTGGCGAAGATCCTTGTTGAATACCGCGAACCGCTTCCCAAGGTTGCTACCACGATAAAAGCCCCTCTTTCGAAGGAGCAATTTCAAAACTGTACCCAAAAGGTCTCTGAGCACTCCGAGGTTCCAGACATGCATGATGTCAATATACACAAGGGAAAGATTGTCACCAACTAAGTCACACAGCGGCGGCCGCGTGGAGTACGGCAGCCTCACATCTTCCGTCTGGCGCCAGGCAGCTTGGCTGCTGCAGTTAGTATAGACCATGCTAAAGTCGGCATTTCCACGAGACGCGAGGCATTCGAAGCACACCTAGAACAGTACCCGTTAGAATGCAGCCATATAGTCATGTACTATTCACAACCAGGGCCCAACTTAAATTTAGTTTGGTTTCACACCTCCTCCTTGCCACCATGTCTGTTAAGGTTGAAGGCTTGCACCAAGAACTTCAAGTCGCCTTTGACACCCACACAATGAAAATGGATCGCCTCAGTTGGTAACCCTAATGACGATCGTGCTTGTGCTTGTTTATCGGTTTGTCACTCAGGTTTAGGCTCAGGGGCACACATATTGGACATAGGCCAGTAGGCCAAACATAATACAGGCTACTAGACACACTACCCTAGACCTTCTTTTGAAACCCAACTACCCTAAACCCTAAACCCTAAACCACTAGAGTGCTACACAAAAGCCACGTGGCACCATGCTCCCTGCTTGGAACACCATTTGTTGATAGGGCCTTGAGATCCTGAACTATACTCTCGAAAAGAAACTGAAGTGTAATGTTGTTCTTGTCCGCATCGTATGCATAGGCAGTAGTTGGCACACTGAAAACAATGTTCCTCGAGGCTTTGCTGTCTGTGCTGCACGTGGACATCTCCGGCATCCTGGGCAGCGGATAGTTAATTGAGATTGGGATTCATGGGCTTGAGACGGTTTTCTCATTCGTAAAGGGGTTGATCGACTGATGCTGTAAATTCGGGATTAATTAAAGGGTCATCGATGTTTGAAGCTCAGTTGCACTATCTTCCG